GTAATCTATGAAGCTCAGTGTAAAGTAAATAATCTATGCATAATAACAATAACAATAACAATAATAATAAAGAATTGCTAAAGTCTTCAACCTAATTATAAGGTCAATTCAGTTCAAAAGACACCTGCTACAAAGGCCTTTGAATTCAAATAAAAGGTAATCAGCAAGGGTCTCATTCATCCTCACTAATGCCATATGTTTGTACCTAAAAAAACAACAAAAAACTGGAACAGAAAGCCTTTATTAGGTTCAAATTTTAATTTTATTTTTAACCTAAATTGCTCAAATATTAGAAATAAAGAACTAAATATCACATTATTCCAAGTCAGTTTCTCAAAGCTCAGAGCCCAGCAGTTAACACTACAAGCAACAAAAATCAGGATTTCATGTATCAGGACTTGGCAGAGGTCAAGCTTTCAAAATCTTACCTAGAACATAAGACAAATGTATTTAAAAAGTAAGAAAACCACACAACTCTTCACACATTACCAATCAGTACTAATTATTTCTGGTAAGTTTAACAACAGTTTTCCAGGTCTAATAGTTCTTTAACCCTCTTCACATCTGTCTGAAGAATCTGTGTAATCAACTGACAAATTCCAACCAAACTCACAAATTATTATGTCCCTAAAATACAAGTCAAGCAATGAAGAGGCATCATCCTAATGCTGCCTCACTGAGAAAAGTCTTCTCTGATTTCAATGCCAATTGAAATACACCATAAAATATACAGAAAGTGGAGACGCTGCAAATGCCTCAACGACACAAAATAGATCTCAGAAGAAAATCAAATCAGAGGACATAAATCTACTGAAAATGCAGTTTGATACTACTGGTGCTCATGGACTTTCACATTTAAATCAACTTAGTTCAGGTGGGCTTTTTCCTCCTCTAGTTTTTGTACTAAATCAAGAAGAGTCAATCTGACATTTAGGGAATGTAAAGTTCTGTATGTTTTAGATGTCTTGGAACTGAAACAAAACTATCACCCTTGCCTAGAGAGGACAAGAAAGCCATCTGATACTAAGTCAGTCATTTAGTTAACAAATAAATTGGCAAACTTCTGGTGAAAATCTAGGAAAGTTTTCTCTAGCATCTACCTGATGCCTAAGATTACTGAAAGAACTTTCTTACAGCAGCTTACATGATTTACATAACTATGACAATAAAAAATTGTCTTTTGAAGACTTCACAAGCTAAAAAATAATTAAAAGAAGCAATACTTCCAATGATATTCCAAACGCATATAATGCACTTTTTTGTCTGTCATACTGGTATATGTCAGCTTAAAAAGGGAAAGGAGAATAAAGAAAAATACATTTTAGTGTATAAGCAGTATAATAAAAATGACACTACAAAAGATGTAATGTTTCAATGTATTTTGATATTGGCTCATTTTCATTTTTAAGGGACATTAAACATCTAGCAGAAAGAGTGAAGAATATTCTATGATACATTAATGTCTTTATCCATTTGTTTTGTCTGGCTTCTGTGTTGTAACACATTGTAGGAGCTGGAAAAAAAATACACAACTCTTATAAAAGTAATATTTACCCAAGAGAAAAATATTGCTCTTGTTCTGGTTCATCTAGTTCCATTTTACGTTGTATTTCTGGCCAAGAACACTCTCCAGGAGTTCTTTGATCATCTGGACTGAGGGAGATGGAGAAGTAGACTGCAGGGAAGCAATTATTTCATCAATAGACCTTGCAACCACTTTCACAGGCAGCACTGGGTTGGAAGTAGACTCTTCAGATTTGCTCTGCTGGAAGTTCTTCTGGTATATTTTTGAAATGTCTGGTCTAGTTACATCCCTTTCCTATTCCAACTCTTCTTGAGCAGACCTCACACTTGGCTGTTTACTTCCTTTTCCCAAAATTCTTCCCAATTCAACATCTAAATCTAATTGCTTTGGTTTTGAAATCACTCTGTGTTTCTTCTTACAGCTGTCCGTAGTTATCCCTAGTTATTTTTGCTTTTCTTGAAATGCTTTTTACTTATATCAGAATCCAAAGAGCTAAATTCAATGCTATCTTTAATGACTGTACCTGTTTCTTGAGTTTTATCTCTTTTTACATTCTGAAGATCCATCTGTAGCATACACACTCAATCCTTAATTTTACTCACTTTTGTCTTTTCTGATGAGATATGGGAGCTATTAACATGGAAATAAAACCCAAATTTGATTTCTAGGGTGGTGCTGGGTGTTTGACCATTACAATTTTTTTAGTGGTACCTGCAAATTATGCTATTACTGGCAGAGTTACAACTGTACTTTCATGAATAAAGTTGCATTTTTTTCTGTTGATTTTTCCAGAGCAATTTCCCTGATTTTTTGTCAACAGTGTTTTTTTCTATAGATTTATTTCTTCTTCACATCACCATGAGTCAGGAGTTTGTTTTTTCATGTCTCTTGCTTCAGAAGACACTCTTACTTTCTGTGAACTTCAGAACACCCAATGAATTAATTAGGAATATTTTTATTTATATTCATGACAGGCTCATGTGGACTCTTCGACCTCTGGAGAGGATAATGTTCTTAACTTATGCAATTGATCTGGTGTTAAATCTTCCAATAAGGGCTAAATGCTCATGTTTCTGAGAGCAGTAACTATTGCTTGTTTGATCTTCAGACTGTCCCACTGAGATTCCTTGCGTATAGTCTCATGTTCCTTAATTATATTCAGTGCTTCCACATAATTCAGTCCTGAGTACCGATGTTTTCTAACAATTTTCCCTTACTGTATGCAGTCTGTAATCTCAAGCAGAAATGAGGATTCGTATTTTACACGCAAACAAAGGTGCCAGTTTGCAAGGGCTCTATTTTGCCAAGGGTCCCATTGGTGTTAACTAGACTTTTCTGAACAGGCCTTATGAAACACCAGCAATGGCTATCTGTATCACCAGGAAACATCAGGAAACAACTGAATCATTTCTAATTTTGGGAGTACAAGTTGTAAGGAAACCTCAAACAGAAAAAAAAGAAAATGGGAAAGAATAAACACTTTCTCAAAGAAACCACAAAGAGATTTCCACCTAAAAACAAACAAACAAACCAACAAACAATAAAACCAGTGACCACTGCACCCGTCCAAGTCCCAGTCCTGCCTGTCCCTCAGGGCCTCCTCTGTGGTGGCCTGGCAGGCCAAGAATGCACTCCCAATCGGGAGAAGAGCAGGCAGTGCCTGCTGCCACCCCTACCCAGCGCTCTGTCCCAGCAGGAATGGCCTGCCAACACGCTGCACTGAGACATCGGGGCCTGAAGTATTTTCTGAGTGGGTCACTGGTGAGACATTCCTCTCCTAAGTGAGCTGAAACACATCAGCTTCATCTGGGGATGTCATTAGAAACCTTTTTCTTCCAGCTCACCTGCGGGATCCTAAAAGGCCCAGGATGGGCAACAGGTTTGTACCTTTTTAGCCTCATTTCTCCCCTGTGTATAGCAACCCTTGCTCTGCTGTCAGCCATGGGCTCTTTTAAAGCTTTGCCCTGAAAACCAAACATATGAATGGCACTTCTGGGAACTTGGGCACCATGCACTCCAGTCACTTCCTGGATGCAATTGTAGACACAGTTTTCTTACCAAAGTAATTTTTGTTATTGTCAGTCTTGCAGACGAAAGCCCCAGCCAGCTGTGTGTGGTTCATTCACCATCGTCAATAGAGTTTCTGTTATTGGGATTTTATTTTCAGCAGTTGTGTGCAACAGGAGAGACTCCATCTAGGAGTCCATAAACCAAACAACTTGGCAGTATTAAATGAGCAAAATGTCTGAAATCAGTTCTCTGAGAGGAATCCAGGCCCCATGTCTAGCAGTTTTACTAGCCAACCCTTCAGAGAACAGAGATGTCAAATATATTTAAGAGCTGTCTGGTGAAAGTTAAATTTTAACAGTAGTTCTTTTCACATGAGAAGTATGAGCTACAAGTGGACCAAAAAAAAAAGAAAAAAAATAGTGTTTCAGTGTCCAAAAAATACAGGGAAGATAACACATGCCAAAAATCATCAAACTTCAGGAAAGAAATAAAAAAATTACTTATAAATTAAAGAAAATGTGGAAAGTCGAACTGAATCTATCAAGATGGTCATAACCATGGCACAAACCTCCAAGGTCACATTGTCCAGGTTCCCAAGGAGGCTGATGGTCTAGAACACATGCAAAGCAAAGCAGATTATAGTAATAAGGGGGGGAAAAGTGTGGTTTAATATGAATGTAAAGTGCTGGAATTTAAATGAATCTCTGGATTGTAAGAGTTCACAGAATTATGCTTGTAATCCACTTAAGTCTCTTATGGTGAGTAAAAATAAAGCCCTTTTTTTAAACTTTTTCCACTTTGGAATCTCCAACACCCATGTGATAACAAGGAACTGTAGGACTAACGGCAGATATTGGATTCAAATATGGCATTAAATTGATTGAAAATCTCCACTGGTCTAACAATCAAATATTTCCTATTATCTTCTCTCTTTGTAGCATTTAGCTATACTTTTGTAGGTTTTTTTCTCCTGCCTAATGGTATTCCTGGAGTTCAAGGGGTAGCCAGTGTCCTTCTTGCAAAGAATGCAATTTATTCTATGATAGATGGCTAACTTTTAGTTTGATAATGCAACTGAAAACCTTTTAAAGATGAAAATGTCATTAGCCAGTCATTACATGCCAATTAATAGCGAATTTTCTCTTCTGATAGCAAGATAACTGATTAAAGCCCTCTAATACGCCCTAGAAAGCCTCTCTATTTGGTGTCTAATTTGCTTCTCTCTCTCTAGCAAGAATCCCAGAGTAGCTGGAGAAGCAGTAGGTAGAATATCAAATAGGTGTTCTGTGTTGAAGGATTCCTGTTAGCAGTCCAGGCCATTAAAGCAGTTCAGAACGGGAATGAAGTGTTCGATTGCCACATTGAAGATGAATCCTATTAGCAGTTTAATGCAGATGTAAGCCTAGAGAACAGATTCATTTCAAACTAGTTAAACAGTAAGTAAAGCTTCAATGATTTCGTTTACCTAGAACAGTTCCTCTCTGCAGGAGTCACAGTGGGATGTGGAAGAAAAAGCCCTGCATGTGAAGAGGTATTTGCATCAGGAAGTTCCAGTAAGAACCTGCTGAATGACAAGAAGGATTTGCATTAAAAAAAAAACCTTAGGAGGAAGGAAAAAAACCTTAGACACAAGTTTCCTCTTTAGGTTAATAGTGGTGATAAAATGGCAAATGAGTATGCTGTGTTATCTTACTGTATCTGTCAGCTCTGCCTGCAGAGGAGCAGGGCCTGGTTCCCGGGGAATGCAGTTAGCTTGTGAGAAAGGTTCAAGCCTTGGTTCATAAACATGTCCTGTGTTAACAGTCTCTGTCTTGTAAGCAAAGCAACACCCAAGGGGATCTGATGTCAAGTTAAGTCCCAAATGCTGTATTTTTTCCCCCTACTAAGCCACATATGATGCTTAGCAGCTATTTCTGGAGAAATTGTTGCTAATATATCCTCTAGATCCTTCAGCTTGAGCTCCAGAGATGACAGCTGCAGAGATTCTTATCTCTGATACACAGGAAAACAGGGAAAGCTTTTTCCCCCTTTCCCCAGGTATTATTATTATCATCCCTTAATGATGCCAGCGGTGCTTGAAGCCTGAGGGTGGGGGTTTTCATTAACATTAAGTATTCAGTTAAACAGGTTAAGCCCTATCTCTGAAGATTGCAAAGTCCAAAATTTAATCAGTAGATGAATCTTTATAGTTAGCAAACGGATCTAGATTTGGAAAACCTTCTGCAAGTTCAGTCCCTGGGTACACATTATTATTTTTTATAATTAGACCTCACCAGATCACTAAGCTTTCTAATGTCACATAAAATGTGTTATCTAAGTTATTAGTCTATTAATGTTATAAGGAAGGTTTTTTTCTTCTTAGGAAGAAAAGCAATCATTAAAAAATTGTTCAGTTGCTTGGAGAAATTAAAAAATGCAACTCCTCATCTCTGAAACAGTCTGAGCCCACATCATCTAGGAAGTCCCACTCCCAGTGCACATCATTTCCATGATTCAAGCACATGATGGAGTGAGATGTACATAGTTCCCCACAGACACCAGGAGGCAATTGGAGTTTATCATGCTTCCAATAGCCACCTTCATCTAGGCAACTAGAAATCAGGACAACATGGTGCACATGAAATACCTATAGCCTGCTATGGGCTCTCAAGAAAATACTACAGAGACTCCTTGGAAAGATGCGTAGTTACTGTTTAAAGGAAGAAGGAAAGTAGGAGCACAACTACTTTGCTAGCTCCATGGCTCACACCTAGTTTGACACTAAGTGCTAAGCCTCACCTTGGTATCCTTTTCCAGCTTGGTGTGAAAATCTTTGCACATATCATAGTCCAGAGGCTCCCCAGCCCTGCTGGGGGGTTGTACATTCTCCCTTCTGCTGTGCTACAGCCAAAGCACTAATCTAGTCTGCCTCAGAACGGCAGTACACCTGATCAAAACTATTCCCTGGTGCAATAGTTCTAGAAAGGATAAGAGCATAGTTACAAATACTTTCTTACCATGATGTCCACGTATCATTATTCCATTTTAGAAATCAGAACAAAGAGAGACTGAATGACTGTCTAAAGTCCCCTAGTAGAACCAGTGGCAAATTCGTAACTGAATCTGTGCTTTTGCCTGATAAAAAATAGAAATTCAGAGGTATGTATCCTCAGGCTACTGTTTCCTTTCCAGGGCATCAACATCTTTAACATTTCTGCCAGGTACATATATATAAAATGGCCATAAATAATCAGATTAAATGGATTAATTATAAGCTAAAATACTGAACTGTGAATTATGGGCATTGGGAATATACCACAAAAGGTTCCCTGAAAGCTACACTGTGGGGACAGTAATCTATAGCAGAAGAGTAGAGTAAACGGCAGAGGGGTTATCTCTTAAATCAGACAGTGTCAATACTGAAAAGACTTTTTGTTAGTTGCATCTAGCTGAGCTGAAGGAAATACTTTTTTTTTTTTTTCCCAGTGATCAATCTATATTGAATCCCTTGTGCAGTAAGCAGCCATGGAAAGGTTTTGTGGAATTAGTATTATAAATCACACATTCAATCCCTTTGTGAGTGTTGAAAGCATTGTCATTCTTCTAATCACTATATCCTATCTTTGATCCATAACAAATATGCACACCCAGCTCTACTTCCATAACAAATATGCACACCCAGCTCTACTAATCTCCATTATGATTGTAAGATATCTGTATTTGCCAGTGCCATGACAGCAGAAATAGTTAATATTTTCTTCCTCTTTGGGCTTTGTCTTTTTTTTTTTCCTCTCCCCATTTAAGAACATTGCTATTTAATAATATAACATAATATAATGTAATGTAATGTAATGTAATGTAATATAATATAATATAATATAATATAATATAATATAATATAATATAATATAATGTAATATTCAAAATAGATATAAATGAAAAGCTGAAAACAAGGTGAAGCTCTTTTATTTTAAAACATATTTATAATAAGAAGACCAATACAATGAGAAAATCACTTGGTCATTTTGAGTGATAAGGATTCACAGATTAATTTTCAGTATAACATGACTAATATTTCCACATATATGCCATTTTATTATATAGCCCAAGAGAAATTACATGAGTCACTTTTGGAAGTCTATCACACATGGCTGTTATTAAAGGCACAAGGTCAGAGACATTTCTGGCTTTGAATAAGGCTGTAAGGAATAAACAGAGAAATTACAGCTAAACACCTGACAAAGTCTTTCCTGGGATTGGGCCTTTGCTTGCTTTAGTTTTGATTATATTTGATCACATCAAAGATGTATCATATCTCTACTCTCTGTTGTCTTTCAGTTAATACATCAGGTTTCCAGTTGGCCATTCCAGTCCAGCTCTTTGTTCTCCTGACAACAGCTTGATAGTGAATACTTAGATGCAGTGTTCGTAGACCCCAGGTTTCACAGCTGAAGACTCAGCTCTGGTGGACATCCCACTTAATCACAAGAAAAACTTCACATCACAGCAACAAAAAGAAATGGCCCTCAAAGGGCAGGGAGAGTTGTCTGCAGAGGCTGAAGTTACAGCTACCTCTAAGGATAATAGAAAAGATTTAAAGGATTTCTGGGAATGGATGTATTTTGGGCCAAATATTCACAGATCCTGAAAAGGAGAAAATGGTTTGTTCAATGGGTAATGGCAAAGTCAACTGATGAGTTATGAAAGTGTTTGGATGGAAGAGAGGAATTTTTCTCTTTAGGAGGAACTGAAGGAAAGTTCAGATGTTGGATTCCCTCTCAATCATCCCACCTTAACACATAAAAAGGAGTAAACCTAAAACTACATGCACAGCAGAAATACTTAGGCATCTGCCTTATTGGCTAGAAAGGGATGGAGAAGGAATGAATTAAATTTGATTCTTACCTTGTCTCATCTGTAGCTGCACAGAGAACTGAACCCAGGTGATGGAAGCCATGGTGATCTAAATAATTTTCATGATGTCAGTCTCTTTAAACTACTCAACAGTTTTCAAATTCACTCCTGAAGTACCTGAAGCAGTAGCAGAAGCTTAGACCAGCTGCTGGAATGATGAACCACTCTTCAAAATACTGAACAGCTTCTTCCCCTGAGAAGTCCTAACATTTTACTAAATCCAGACCTTCTACTTTCCCATAGGCCAGGGTTGACTATCCTATTTTTTAGACCTTGTGATTTTAGGGTGTTCCCAGGTGATACTCACATTCTCACATTTTAGTGTAAAACTATAAACTCCATTAGGGTCTCTGGTCATCCTTTTCCAGGGCAAGCATAATTTTTGCTATACACAGGTTAGTTTTGTCCTGCAATGGAGTAAATGGCCAGTGCTTCTGTATATCTGTGGAAATGCTGCCACACACCCAACAATTGCTCACTGCCCATGTTAATACAGCTCAAGAAAATGAGCAGTGAATGCAGCTTGAATTAATTTATGCTCTAGGAACTGCAAGTTGGATAACAGTGTGGAACTGCTCCCTGGGGAGGAGTTTAAATAAGCCAGTCTATTTTGAACATTTGATTCTTCAGAGCTGTCAGCCAAGGAAGACATCTAGAACAGATACTGGTATCTCCCAATGCTTTTCTGCAGAACTGCTCTAGAAACAGAGACAGTGGAATGAATAGTTTTTGCAGGTAAAGTAGAAGATAGCAAACAATTTGAAAATATGTTGATACACACAAAAAAAAGGTAGCATTCCTTCACTCTCCATCACTCAAAATTAAAGGTATCAAACCATGTCTACTTTCTGCATAGGAAAGTCAGTTTGCAAAGGAACTGGAGTAGTATATCAAGATGAATATTACAAAGAGCTGATTAGCTCTGAATCTATTGTCCAATATATAGATACTGTTTTTTATCAGTAAAGCAGATATTCTCAAAGATAACTCACTGCAGGTTTTGGAGAAACAAGACTCCTGGAGAGTAGAAATACCTTTGATTCAAGCAGCAGATATTGTTGGGGCAGGGGAGGCAGATTTTGGTCCATTAAGTTACTGGGGAAACTTTAACAAAGAAATAATTCTAGAATTCATACACAGATGCACCTCCTGTCAAGCGTTATTTCATATACCAGTTTATTTAGATTACCTGCACTCACTGCCTTAGTTTGCTTTCTTTGCTTCCTGCAAAAATCTGTATATACCCTGAAACACCATTTTTGGAACTTGGATGAGATTCTACAAAGTGGGTGCTATCTAAATACTTGTGTTTATCTCTGCATAATCATATCCCATCTCTTCTGGTACTGTTTCTTCCATGCCATAGTACTGTGGCTACTTCAAAACAAAACACCCTTTAAAAAACAAAATTAACCAAGCAAGATTTTCAAAAAATATATCCAGTAATTGAACAAGAACAGAAACACTGATTGAAATACATGACAGAAGCACTTACATTTATGTTTCAGTATGTCATAACATAAATAAAACAAACTATAACTGAAATAAATACCTACATGGCTGCTCTTGAATAAAATTATAAGTATCAAGTTCATTTATTCCTACATAAAGTAAAACACACTTGGTCAATCACATGCTGAAGTGTGGGCATCCTGCCAGCTGGAGTTCTGAAAACAGCATACATACATCTAACCATATTAGCAAAACTAAACTTGTTGTTTATTATGGGTAATGATTTACCTAGTTAAAAACTCTTTTGTTACACTATAGAAAAAAAAACCAAAACAGCACAAAACAGACGTTTCCTCATTCTCATAACTAAAACCATCGGATATCAGCATTCATAATTTTTCATTTCGTTATTTGTTCCTCTTTCTCATTTAACTGATCAGATACATGAGTATTTTCAGATGGTGGGATATTATTTGTTATGTTGTTCAAGTCTTATGATATCAGCTCTGCAGGATGCCTAGAAAATGAAATGCAATGAATTACAGGGAAAGTAAAGTAAAGTAAAGTAAAGTAAAGTAAAGTAAAATAAAATAAAATAAAATAAAATAAAATAAAATAAAATAAAATAAAATAAAATAAAATAAAATAAAATAAAATAAAATAAAATAAAATAAAAATCCTGCAACTGAACATCACGGTTGTAACAAGCTACACAACGTCTCCAGGGCCTGGCAGAAAGGAGCACGGCCCTGAGTGTGACCCCGCAGGGTGAGAGCCCGCAGGCCCGGTGCCCCCGGGAGCGCTGCCCGCGGCCCCGAGGGCGCGGCCGTGGCAGGACTGGGCCTCGGAGGGG